GAAGAGAGAGAAAGAAGCAAGAAGCGGGGGTGGGAGGAAGGGAAGACAGACAAAGACTGAAGAGTTATTTCAGAAAAAGAGGAGACCAACATGATATAACAACTAAATACCGTATATGATCCATATTAAATCCTGAATCAGAATTTCTTTTCTATTTTGCTACAGTGATTTTTTAGGACAACTGAAAAAAAAATTGAATGGGGTTTATAAGTTAGACAATAGTATTGTTTCAAGTTCATTTCTTTTTTTTTTGAGTTGGAGGCTCACTCTGTCGCCCAGACTGGAGTGCAGTGGCACGCTCCTGTCCCCTGCAGCCTCGACCTGCTGGGCTTGAAGGGTACAGGAAACAGCCAGAGGGGCGGCTCCCAAAATGGTGCCAAACATGGTAAAGCCACACTAGACAACAAAGGCCCTAGGTTCCGGCTTCTTCATGCACGATTCCCCTCGCGCGCGAAGTTCAAGCCTGCAAGCCTCCAATCATTTCCCATGACGTAGCTAGCTTTGTTATACCCACCCTGCTCCCACGTCGCTCCTCCAATAAGAACCTAACACAGCCCCTTCTGGCCCCTGCCAAGTCCATAAGTACACCCCTCTCCCTGCATAACTCTCTCTTGCTCCCTCTCTCTCTTGCTCTCTCTCTCTCTTGCTCTCTCTCTCTCTCTGCTGTTTCTTTCTCTCTCTCTCTCACTCTCGCTCTCTCTTCCTTCCTCCCTCCCTCCTCCTCCCTCCCTCCTCTCTCTCTCCCCCACACACACACTCTCTCACTCCCCCCCCCCCCCCCCCCCCCGGGGGGCTCTCTCTCTCTCTCTCTCTCTCTCTCCAATCCCGCAGCCACAGACCCTTTCCCTTTTCCCTTGTAGCCGCTGCTTTAATAAACCTCTTGGCCTTAAACGGGTGTGGAGTTATCACTGGCGCCTAACTTCTTTCAGGGCTCTGGCGATCCTTCAGCCTCAGCCTTCCAAGTAACTGGAACTACAGGCCCACGCTACCACACCCGGCTAATTTTTTGATTTATTGTAGAGATGAGGTCTCGCCAAATTGCCCGGGCAGGTCTCAAACCCGCAGGGTCAGGCAATTCACTCACCTCGGCCTCCCAAAGCACAGGATTACAGGCTGAGCCACTAAGCCCGGCTCAAGTTCATTTCTTAATTTTGACAATATGTACTGTGGTTATATAAGTGCTTTTTTTTTTTTCTCCATAAAATGTCATGCTGAGGTATTTAGGAGTAAAGAGCATCTTGTCTCCAATTTACTCTCAAGCGGTTCAGAAAAACATATGCCAAGCATATACGTATACAGAGGGTGCCAAAAAATATCTACACATTTTAATAAAGGAAAAAAATTGTATTAGAACTGTAATACTCAATATATACTAATAACAAAAGATGAATACAAGTCATGCTTGACTTCTACAATTACAGGAGGTCCTCAAAGTGACTACCATCGGCATCTAGACACTTCTGATTACAGAAAACATCTCTTAACATTTCTTAAAATGTGTATACATATTTTTGGCACTCCTGGTATACATATGGAAGGAGAGAGAGGGAGATGAAGAGAGGGAGAGGGAGAGGGCAAGGGAGGAGAGAGAATGACAAATAAAGAGTCAACATATCTGGGCAAAGAATAAATGGGAATTATTTACGCTATTCTTAAAATCTCTCTGTAAGTCTGAAAATTATTTCAAGATAAAAAATTTTAATATTGTCCATCCAAGGTCAATCAAGCTGTAGCATGTTGTTTCTAGTGATATCCTTATGGAGCATTAAGTTGACAAGCCCCAGGATCTAACTCAGACTTCCCATGAAGACAACTGTGCCTCTCATGATTCTCAGAAATCACATAAATTCTTTTGTCCTTAGCTATAGCCCAAAAGCACTATAGTAATTTAGTAACAGTTGCTTAGATCAGAGATGATTTCAAGCCAGTAACTAGAAATTACCATCCTATCAAACTACAAAACATAAGGATGGTTAAATAATGATATAATCAACTTTAATGAGATTAACCAATGTTTAAAGTCTCCTTAATCCTTTTGGGAAAATGGAGTGGGGTTGGATAAGTCAACTTCAGAAAATACATAGATTTTATTGGAATATTTTAGTGACAGAGGTAAGGGCACTATTTCAAAAGTAAAATTTCATCCAGCAAGGCAGATGTTACCCAGACAACGGAGTGAGTCTTACTCTACAAACATTACCCAGTTTCTGGGGCATCATCAGACCCCTTCATGTAGTGCTCTTGCTTCATGTGAACGTTCCTCCCTCTCACTGTGATGGTTATCAAGGGAAAACCCTTCTGCAGTGTCCAGGTGTTCATCATGGTTTTCACATCCAGGCCTTCCTGACGCCAGTGCTGGTTTATACACAAACAGGCAGAATGTCACCCGTTTGACCCAACTCGAAGAAAAAGTGAGAACACCAATTTGTGCTCTAGGGGCTTCTACCAGTGACAGCTTCCTCTGTGGAGCTCTTCCTGATCCCTTCCTCTGCTCCCCAGCTCCCTCTTCTGGTCCCCTTTCCCCACTGTCCCCAGCCATCACACCTCCATTAGAGCACCGTTTACTTTGCATTTGCCTTTACTATAGACTTGGGTCTTGAGGATAAGTTGCCCATCTAGTTCTGCTGGGCACATTTTGGGGCTGGCGTAGCACCGAGCACAAAGCAGGCATGTGACTGAGTGAAGAGAGAGAAGGAAGAGGAAGTGGCTGGGCTTTCAATAGCTACATACTATGCTTGCTCTCGGACAAGCAAGGTGGAAAAAAATATTCAGTCAAGAGCCTGTGTTTCCAGTGTGATAGCACAGAGACGGCCCATGCTCAACAAAGAGTCGTGAGCTCAAAAAGAGACATGTTCTTTGATACTAAAAAAGCTTTTAAGAAAAAATTTAAGAGGTAGCAAAAGGATAAAATATGCCACATGACAAGTCTAGACACTACTGAATAGAGTAATGAAACAAAAAAATTCAAGAAAATAAAAATATAGTGGATATAATTCTGTTGAATCTCCAGATTCACCCTCAGCTGCCTTTAAAAATATTCCATAAGTCCAGATAATCAGAGATTCAGGCTGTTTTCTGACTCAGATGTTATGAATGCTTTATAGCTTCTCAAAAAAAAAATTAAAAACGTGAGATAGATCTAAATTCAAATCCCTGTTCTTCAATTTACCAGCCATATGCCTTTGGATTCCATATTCCCATCTGTAGAAACAGGAATAAGTAATAAGTCTTTGAGTACCTGGCTCATAGATTATTATGAAGAGTAAAGAAGATAATATACATAAGTGCTTAGCACGTGCCTAGTGTATAGTAAGTGTTCAAGAATGCTCACTGCCATAGTCTTTGCACAACTGAAGAGCTCTGGAAATGATTGACGTATCCTCCTGAGTGCTAAAATGCAGGCCTTTCATAGAAACGTGTTGCAAATCTCCTACTTTGGAGAGACTGAAATGAGCATCAGTGAGAAGGATTACCAAAGAAGACTGGGCAACTATCTTGTATAGTCATGACTGGAGAAAGATTTTTACAATAAAAGACTGTCAGACTGGTGTAGTTGAAATGCAGTATTATTTGGAAGGAAAGTGTACAATCAAGGAGTTCAGAAAGTTTAGCACAGAGCGATCCTTCAAAGAACAGAGCAAAACAATATGCTCAGGGTAATGTGTACAGATATAGAACCTTACTGAGGATGAAGACGAATGCTGGCTTCTAGAGCAAAAGCCATCCATCCCTTGTGTGCCATCTGTAGGGCAAATCTAAAAACCAAAAATAAACACATCACTCTCATTCCTATAGAAAACAATGACTTTTCCCAGAGGGATTAATATGATGCTGGGAAAACAACACAAGATAATAAGCCTGTCAATCTCAAATGTGAAGATATACAAAAACATACTCACGCTTGCCATGCTATTCCACAGGTCCTCGTTTTTGGTGTTTTTATAGCTGTACTTCTGGAGGTACTGTACAATACCACTTTTAAATGCATCAGCACCAAGATACTCCCTTAGCATATTCAGAATACATGCTCCCTGAAAAGATAATAGAATTGTTAGCTGCAGTTTGGTTGCAATCTAATCTGCTGTCACAATTTGTTTTGCAATAAAATGCATTTCTTTTAAAATGCGATGGCGGTAACATTTTAAAGTCTGGCAATTTGTGAAACAGAGTAAGTGGGTTCAACCTGGACCTATCTAGGTAGGGGATTTGTTTAACATGATTGCTTATGCCTTCAGCCCACTGTTATTTCCTACTCGTGGCCCCAGGCATCCCTGCAGGGCAAATTAGCACCATCGGCCATCTCCCTCTGTTCATGTGTGAGTAGACAATGGTGCCCATCGAACAGGGAACCTTAAACTAGCGCCTGGCTCTCCTACCACTCCAGGGCAAGAGTAGGGAGTGGGAAGTGGAGGAAGTTCTAGAGATGGAAGCCGAGATAGGTGCCAGGGAACCCAGCAGAAGTTGGTGTGGAAGTCCAGGGAGCCCAGGAAACCTTGAGTGCAGAGGTTTGAGGAGTCACAATAAGAATGGGAGCAAGAGAATACCCAGATGCCCTGTATTCCTGGGTCAAGGGCTTTCCTTTCCAACTCCCATTATCATAGATCATGGGTTACAGACTCAAATGCCTCCAGTGGCATATGGCCAGTGATGTCAATGAGAGCAGGAATCCAAGAGTAAGAACACTCCTTTACATCCTTTTTTCCCCTGTACTTTTAATGGAAACTTGCAAGCAAGAGGAAGCATAATGACAAATGGCAGCACGCTTTCAGTCTCTGTCAGGAGAAGACACTAGAACAGTTGGAAATGGTAGAGGCAGTAGAAAAGTAGCACATTGATCTTTTACAGAAGGAGCCACAACTTAGTGCCAGCTCATGCTGCCAAAGGAAACACAGGCCCCATGTGGCCAAATCCTCCTTTTCTGTCCCCAAGAGAAGTTGGAAATCTGGATTTTTGTATAAAATATCCCAATTATTAAATGTCAGCAACAATTTCCAACTCTGTTATTAAACACATTGCTCAGGACAATACTCTGCAGTTCGACAATATTAACCATTTCTGATGCCCTGAAAGACGAGCTACACAAGGGCAGACATTTTTGCCTGGTACGAAGTTGACGCTCAATCAATACCTACTTGTTGACTGGTGTATAGAAAGCAGTGTTTCTGTAGTCCATGAATTTTCAACCCGAGAAAGAGTAAATCAAGAACTGACCACATTGTAATCTTTAGGGCTATGAGCCAATCTGCAAATTAGGCCTAAATGAATTCACTCTAGTCAGCATGGGTCAGGACAGAAGGCACTCAGTCTGGGTCAGGTGTAGTGTCTCACGCCTGTAATCTGAGAACCTTGGGATGCTGAGACAGGAGACCTCCTTGAGCCTAAGAGTTCAAGACCAGCCTCAGCAACACAGCAAGACTCCTGTCTCTACAAAAAATAATTTTTAAAAAATTAGGTAGGCATGGTGATCATGCCCAGCTACTTTGGAGGTTGGGGCAGGAGAATTACCCAGGAGTTTAAAGCTGCAGTGAACCACAATTGCATCATTATACTCCAGTGTGGGTGACAGAGTGAGACCTTGTCTCAAAAAAATAAAAATAAAAAAGATATTCAATCTGAGTTTAACACTTCAAACTTACCGTAACTTCTCTACCCGGTACTTGTAAGTTTAGTGTCTAAACTGTAACCTCATAATCCACTTTTACCTTTTCATAAGAAACATCATCAAACATCTCTCGAATCTGAGCAGGATTCTCCACAGGTGTGGACACAGGGTGTGAGGAGTTTAAAGCATCTACCTCCATCGCATTAAAACACTTGCCAAAGAAATAATCCTCCTATTGAGACAGAAAAAAGAAAGCAACAATTATGAATTTACATTTAGATTTAAAATATGAAAGGAGGAATGTGTGATCTGAAGTAACAAGTCTATACCTCAAATTTCGGGGCCAATGTATTTCTAATATGCATAAAATAAAATAGAATCACTATTTCCTAAAAAGCACCTATGAAATCATGATTTTAGTATTAGATTTTGTTCATCTTAAATACTGATCACTTTAGAATAAAGAAAATTTCATATTAACCTAAAAACAAAACCATTACACTTATAGCCAACAACTATAAAACAAACTAAAATGTACAGCGATTTCAACATTTTCAATCATAATCTGTACTATTTTAGAGCAAAGATGTTTAGCTTTAAAAATATGTAATTAAAAAAATGAAGAACAATCGATAGCTAATAAAAAATAGAAAATAAGGAGAACAAATTAACTTGCTTTACTAGGGCACATTAACTCAATAGAATAATATACATCCATAATAATTTTTATTATTAAAGATGATGTGGAAACATAAGAAAATACTTATGATCCATGATAATGTAATAATGATAAATATTTTATAATTATAACTGTTTATAAATGAACTATGCATACAGGCAAATGAAAATGGGAAGTAAATATTCACAAATAAAAAGAGTCATTGTAGTAGGGTAAGGGATGTTTTAAACATAAAATAAATTTACTTTTAATTTTTCTACATGAGATTTTCTCCAGTTGAGCATGTGATTTTTAAAATAAACATATAGCAGTTCTAAAGCATTACATTTGTGACCCATGAGTATAGGTGATTACACAATCAAATATGCAGCACAACTCATTTGATTTGCCTAGTAAGGCTCTGTTGAGATAATAGCAATCTGTACCAAATAATTCTGCAATGAGCAGCCTAAAGTTGGGGAAATTATGCCGAACAACATTCAAGCTATCATTATTTCCATTTATTTGATATTAAGGGAAGACACAATCTGACAATTTCCTAATAACTATAGATTCTCAATTGAGTCTGGAAATAAGTCTTTGTGATATATCTTCCAAGTTCACTGGCATTTTTCAAACATGATTCACACCCAAACACTGAAGGAAGTTATCAATGAAATCTTTCTATGAATTCTATAATCAAAAATTAGTAAATATTTTCCAGTAACAACTGAATAAAATAACAGATTAATCTAAAATGTAAAAATAAATAAATAAATAACTGCTTACAACTTTCAGTTCAGGGTGGGTCACACTGACAGACACGAACTCCATAAACTTGGCAAATCCCTCATTTAGCCAAAGGTCATTCCACCACTCCATAGTGACCAGGTTCCCAAACCACTGAAAGAATAACATTACTCAGTTTACTTACACATTTCTATGGAGACTGGATTATTTATTGTCTAGACTGGCAGCCATAAACAAAAGACATTCAGAAAGAAGTATATTTTAGATCTCTAATATCAGTTTATGAACATTAACACATATTTATAGAACTAATAAACCTTTCTATATATGCGTTACAAAACATGAAACCTAATGTTTTAAATAAATGTTAATAGCTTTTCCTATGAGAAAAGAAACAAAGTAAAAATTATAAGCATAATGTATGAATAGCCTCATATGCCCCATAAAAGCCATATAAATATAGTTTAACTGTGCTTTTAAAAAAGTGTGAGTGAGCTTATACCTGGTGGGCAAGTTCATGGGCTACAATCATTGTGATGCCAAGCTTACTTGACGCAGAAGACGTTTCTGCATCAAACAGTAGAGAAGATTCTCTATATGTTGTCAGTCCCCAGTTTTCCATAGCACCAGACTGAAAGTCAGGAATAGCAGCAAGATCTTGGGAAGAAGTTAGAAAATACATGACCAATCTTTAAGCTATACATGACCCCAAACACACCAAACTTCCTAATGGATGGGTGTTAGAATCAAAAGCAAGGCTAAGCTGTCTGTGCAGAATCACGGAGCTCTGGACTGGAAGAATCTTTCAGAATGGAGAAAAGGGGCTCTGTGACTCAGGGTTCCCTTGCTATGACATGACACCTTGCTACAATTTGTATCTCATGCCTCTTTATTCCGTTTCTAACTTTCTGATGAGGTTTTGGGACTGAGTAATCTTAACAATTACCTCAATAATCCACTCTATTTTGGATGCCCAAGACCCACATATATCTAAAACCCCAAACATAAATGTTAAGGGTTCATACAAGAATAAAAAATGCAGATTTTTATTACACTGCATTAATGTATTCATTCAAAAAATTAAGCACCTTCCATGTCCTTGCCAATTAAAGTTGCCAATAATGAAAGAAAAGCAGCTTCTTCCTTCTGCTGTGTGATTTTATTTTCTGATTTTATAAAATCAGGAGGCAAAATAGTTCCTGTGCCATGTGCCTCAGGAACTATAAAGCTCTGCTTTCTTCACTGGCAGTAGAAGGGTACTGTAGAGATCAAGGGTAAGGAGATACTCAGAAGGATCAATGGGATGTTTGTCATTTGCTAGGGTTTTTCTGGTCTGAGGAGCTTCTGAAACAACCCTGGGATGTACCAATTATAATGATGAATCTACGACTGGGGTCATCAAAAGCAAAATCTCTACCTTGTTTGGGTAGGGGATATGGTATGTTGAAATAATCCTCAAAAAATTCTAGAAGAGTCACCGCCGCTTCCAGTGCATAATCTGCTTGATTTATCTTGTTTGGCGCAGCATATACAGAAATCTAAAGAGAAAAGCACAAAAAAAGTATCAAAATAACTTAGAGGCTTCTCTCCACAAGTATACAGAAGGCTGACATTAATGTCTTCATCCTGTGGGATATGGTTGCCAATACTGAAGAAGATGATTGGGAGCTCCATTTTTTATACTAATGTTGACCATTCCTGATCAATCCCCCTTCTGAATACAGCAACAAATGCTGGGTAACATATACAAGGATGTCTTCTTGAATGTGTTCATAAGGTGGCAACAAAGAATGAAGACTTAGAGGCCAAAAGTGAAGTGACAGCTGGATCCTCCAAAGTCAGCAGAGCACTGTAACCAGCTTTTGCCTTGGAACGCTAGCCCAACACAGCTGGACTCAAGCTTTGGTTATCATGGCATTGAAGGACTAGGGATAGGAGACAGAACCCAAGGCCTAAGTGGAAAACCTAACAGGACATACCACCCCTGGATAAAGCTAGAACCTAAAGGCTACACACCCTTAGTGTAAAGGTAAACTAGAAATAACTACACTTTCTCAAGGAAACTGCAAATAAAAAAATATTTTTAAATAAAAAAAACTTTAATTCAAATCTTGGTGCTGTATAAGGAGAATAGGGGGAACTTCTTAGAGAATTTGTACCTAGAAGTTAGGTACCTCATGGTGTTTAGCAGCTAAACTTATAATAATTAGGAATTGAAAAACCTAAAGCCAATAATTTAATGTAAAGTGGTTCCTGAACTGGTAAGTGCTTCCAGTCACTCTGCAGGAGCAAATATAAATTCACTCTGGAATAATCCTTTTGACTCAGGTAACATAAGTTCAGAGACATAATTCACAATATGCACAAAGAAACCAGACACCATGAGCAAGAGCCAGCAGAATCAACAAACCACAAAATCAGATACACAAAGACTTCAGATACAGCAATTACCAGACATAGGATATAAAATATATATGTCTAATGTGCTTAAAGAAATAAAAGAAAAGCCAGGTAAATTGGACTAGAAAAATAAATAAAGGAAATCCAAATTGGAAAAGAAGAAATCAAACAATCTCTGTATGCTGTTGATGTGATCTTATACCTGGAGAACCCTAAAGACTCCTCCAAAAGACTTCTGGACTTGATAAATGAATTCAGTAAAGTTTCAGGATACAAAATTCAACACACACAAATTAGTAGCACTGCTATACACCAACCAATAGTGATCAAGCTAAGAATCAAATCAAGAACTCAATTCCATTAGCAATAGTAGCCAAAAAGCTAAGATACTTTGGAATTCATTTAACTAAGGAGGTAAAAGATCTCTACAAGAAGAGCTACAAAACTCTGATGAAAGAAATTACAGAGAACACAAACAAATGGAGAAATATCCTATGTTCATGGATTGGAAGAATCTGCATTGTTAAAATGACCATATTTCCCAAAGTAATCTACAGAGTCAATGCAATCCCTATCAAATTACCAGTGTCATTTTTCACAGAATTAGAAAAAAAAAATCCTAAAATCCACATAGAACACAAAAGAGCCAGACTAGCAAAAGTAATCCTAAGCAAAAAGAACAAAGCTGGAGGCAACACATTATCTGACTTCAAATTACATTACCAGGCTGTAGTAACCAAAACGCATGCTATTGGTGCAAGAGCAGACATGTGGTTCAATGGAACAGAATAAAGAATTCAGAAATAAGCCCAAATACCTACAACCAACTGATCTTTGACAAAACAGACAAAAGTATACACTGGAAAAAAGGCACCCTATTCAACAAATGGTGCTGGGAAAATTGAATAGCTACATGCAGAAAAATGAAACTTGATCACTATCTCTTCTCACATGCAAAAATTAACTCAAGATGGATTAAAGATTTAAATATCAGACCTGAAACCATCCTAGAAGAAAACCCAGGAAAAACTCTTCTAGACGTAGGCCTAGGTAAAGAATTTATGGCTAAACTCTGAAAGCAAATGCAACTAAAACAAAAATAAATAAATGGGATTTAATTAAACTAAAAAGCTTCTGTACAGCAAAAGAAATAATCAAGAGAGTAAATGGGCAACCTACAGAATGGAGAAGATATTTGCAAACTATACATCTAACAAAAGACTAATATCCAGAATCTCCAAAGAACTCAAACAAATCAGCAAGAAAAAAACAAATAACCCCTTTTAAAAAATGGGCAAACAATATGAATAGATACCTCTCAAAAGAAGATATACAAATGGCCAACAAACATATGAAAAAATGCTCAACATTACTCTTAATCCGGGGAATGGAAATTAAAACCACAATGAAATACTATCATACACTGATCAGAATGGCCACTATTAAAAAATCAAAAAACAATAGATACTGGTGAGAATGTGGAAAAAAGGAACACTTATACACTGTTGGTAGAAGTGTAAATGAGTACAACCTCTATGGAAAGTGATATGTAAATTACTCAGAGAACTAAAAGTAGATCTATCATTTGATCCTGCAACCCTGCTACCAGGTATCTACCCTAAGGAACAGAAGTTGTTATATAACAAAAGCACCTACACTTGCATGTTCATTGCAGCACAATTCACAATTGCAGAGATGTGGAATCAACCTAAATGCCCATCCACCGTTCAGTAGAAAATGAAAATGTGCTATATATATACCATGGAACACTATGTAGTGATAAAAAAGAATGAAATAATGTTTTTTGCAGCAACAAGGATGGAACTGGAGATTATTATCCTAAGTAAACTGACTCAGAAACAAAAAACCAAACACCATCTGTTATCACTCAGATGTGGGAGCTAGACGGTCACAAAGATGAAAATAAAAGACACTGGAGACATAATAAGGGGGGTGGAAAGATGGGTGTTAGGGTTCGGAAACTGCCTACATGGCACAATGTTCACTCTCTGGGGAACAGGCCACCTGAGACCCGATCCCCAACACTACACAATATGTCTATGTAACAAATGTGTACCACCGAATCTAAAATTTTAAAAATTAAATTAAATCAAAATAAATACTATATAAATAAATAAAAATATAACAAAAAATAAATAAAAGAAAAAACTAAAAATATTCGTATGAATTAGACATTATCAAAACAATTGTTTTAGGCCAGGTGCAGTGGCTTATGTTTACAATCCTAACAATTTGGGAAGATGAGGAGGGATGATTGGTTGAGGCCAGGAAATTCTCGAGGCCAGCCTGGGCAACATAGTGAGAACTCATATCTACAAAAAAAACCTCTTAAAAATTAGCTGAGCATTGTGACATGTACCTGTGGTCCCACCTACTCAGGAGACTGAGGCAGAAGGATCACTTGAGCACACAAGTTTGAGGCTGCAGTGAGCCATAATCACACCACTGTACTCCGGTCTGGGCAAGAGATTGAGACCCTGTCTCTAAAAAAATAACAAAATAAATAAATAAAAATAAAATTTAAAATTAAAAAATTGATTTAAAAATTATTGTTTCTAAAAGATTCAGAAAAGTGGGCAAAATAATGTGCAGACGTTTTTGCCGATAGTTTCCCTGCTGAATTAAGGGTGTTCCCTTTATCCAAGTCTCAAGCATCATTTTCAAATCCTCAAGTAAGTAAAGATATCTCCACAAGAATAAGAAGCCTCAGTACTCAAGGAACAAAAGGCAATTCGGCAGAGAATTCCCATCTATGCAGACCTCAGTGAAATCCAGCCCAAATATATGAGGTATCTTCAAATAAAATATCCTTTCCCCCTCTCAGAAAAATCTGTTTGCATTCTGAGACATGGTTGTATAGATTACCTACCATGCTATGGTTCCCAGACAAGGAGCAAGTGCTCCTTGAAATAAGACATTATTTCTAGTGTTTTAGTATTTCCTGGCCCCGGTGCTCTTTCCAAAGCCTCTGATCACTCCAAGCCAGTTGCTTCTTACTTTCTTTACAATCAGAAATCCTCTGTTCAGAGAGTAACATTCACTTCCAAACTGTAGAAAGCTATAACCAGAAGTAGCCTTAGAAACCATTACACGATCTAGTCCAAGTTATACCTTTCAAGGAAGTAAAAACTTCATTCCAGCGGGAGCAGGGCCAAGGTTAGAGGGCCAGTCAGTGATGGAGCCATGATCACATGTCAGACCAGGCCACACTCTCTCAATACTGTTGCTATTAGAACCTTGCTGTACAAAAGAGCATCTGTGACACTAGAGTGATCAACCAGCCCAGTTTACCCAAGATTGAGGGGATTCTCAGGATGCAGGACTTACAGTTTAAAAACCAGGTCAACCAGGCAAATCAGTACAACTTGGTCACTGTATGTGACAATCACAGGCTCACCTTGACTCCACTCTTGGTCATCTTGCTGACAGACTCAAAATCTGAAATAATGAAGGCCACCAGGTAGGTGCTCATCTTCACAGTGACATCAAAATGGTCTTCTATGAGTCCTTCAGCTACAGTCACAGATTTCACCTGAAATTAGAATAACTCAAATTATCAAGTTATCAAATAATCCAATAGACTGAACACATGTTATAAAGAGAAATTTTCTAACTACCAGTCATAATATTGAAAGTATATGACATGACATTTCTATAATTGCTTTAAAAGTTATCTTTTCAACATTTAATTGCAATGTAGGTATTAAGGTCAAACCATTCTATGTAATTTCTTTTTTTATTAAGAAATAATCCCCACACCATAAAAATTTCCATTTTAAAGTATACCATTCAATGGTTTTTAGTATATTCATGAAGTTGTGCAGCTATCAACACTCAATTACTTTTAAATAATCTAGATGACTGCAAATGGGCTCATATCTGGTATATATGGATTGTTAACACAGATGGGACAAAACAAAACTGAGCTCATGGGTTTTGCCAAGATGTGGTCTACTTGTCCATACCTACAGGCTGGAGAACTCTCTGGAAATGCAATGTCTAGTACATACTCTACATTGGTAAAATACACAACCATATACTACCCATAAAGAGCTTCTGTTTTTCTAAACAATTGAAAGTGACTTATACTTGGGTCCGATCCTGAAAAGCCTCTTCCAAACTCAGACGTGCTTCATAGGAATCAGTTTTTAAATACAACCAGGGAGTAGCAGGTGGGGTGGGGTTGATGGAGGCTCAGACTGAGAGGTCCACTCCCAGAGAAGAAAGTCTAATACCTCTGCAACAAGAAGCATGGAGGGGAGATGCTGGAGAAAGAACCAGCCAGCACCAGCCTGAAAAACCATATTAGCAGGCACTTTTCCTATAACCCCACACTCACCCCTGTTGCTATGCCCTCATCCCTCTTCTTAATACCACCCGGCCATCAGCTATGGTGCCTGCCAATCACCATCCGGTCATTCAAACCAACTCCACTAGTCAGCCTCCTACAGGATCGCAAACCATCTTTTTCCATTCCTGAATCTGTACTAATTGTTAGGAAAGTAAGCTGATGAAACCAATTCAAATTTAAATGTGATGAACTTCTGCATACTGCCCAAGTGCTTCAATGTTCCAATTAGATTTATTTGTTTTTCCAGCTTCCAAAAATATCCCTCCAGACCTCGTTGTTCTCAGTGCCACATCTGCAGCCTGAGGCCAGGTCACTCCTATTAGCTTTCTGCCAGTGAGAAGTTTTTCTATCCAAGGAAAAAGATTGCATAAGAGATTTTCATATCTTCAACAAATCCATGGATATCCATGGATTTAGACTCCAGCATCTTCATGAAGTCTCCAGGGCTGCAGGACTTCCCTCTGCAAGCCTACAAAGATCTCCACCAATCTTGTTTGGTCCTTCAGTCTCTCTCCTGTCTCCATCTCATCCCTGTCCCTTTGTTTTCCCACAGTTATGATTTCCCCATTAAAGAGCTCATTCTTGTCCCAGGGAACAATACCATTATATTGAGGGTGGGGACTATATTTTGAAAAAGCATGTTCTTGTGTCTTAAATTTACATAGCATAATTTTGTATTGTCTTTCCATATACAAGGGGGGGCGGGGGACAAAAGTTCTTGGCTGATAGGGATTTGCAGAAAAGTGTTTTTTTCTAGAGGATAGCCCTCAGGGTTGGAGGTGGTGTCAGAATCTTGTTAGAGGAAGGGATCCCTACAGTATTCGAAGGTGGGCACAGAGTTTTAAGGTGGAGAAGTACCATACTAGAGGTTGGTCTGTGACTCTCAGTGGCTCTCCAAGCTAAGATATCACTTCCCTGGTCAGTATAGGGATGCTGGTCATCCTTCAGGGCTCTGGGCAAAGCTTATTTTACCCTGAGTGTCATCTGTGGCAAGCTTCTCTGAACAAGGGATGTGCTTCCAGGATTTGGTCCACACCAGCTGAGGAATGACAGCCCAGCTGACGTTTCTCTAAGCTACCTGAATCAAAGGATAATAGCACTTAATGAATGGTTTTATTCATTTGGCATGGTCCTCTCTTAGACACTTTTACAAATCATAGGGAACACTGCCCACATCTGCTTTGAAATAGACAATAATGGTTTATCTTCAGGGAACTAGGTTATCTATCATTACCCACCTTCACCACCATCATTTTCTGAAAAGATTACTTCTATCAGCCCAATTTTGTACATATAGTTATAAATTATATAGTTGATATTCGTATACAATATGTGGAAATTGTAGAAAATAACTATAAACTAGAAATGTGGCCTTATCAACAAAGCATTCTCTTTAAAATCTTCTTAAAAGATCATATGAGAAAACATGGGTGAAAGTGCTTTGTGAAGGGCACTATCATTTAAACTTCACCTGCTCAGCCTGTAATCCCGTGCTTTGGCAGGCTGAGGTGAGTGGATTGCCTGAGTCTGTGGGTTCGAGACCCACCTGGGCAACTTAGCGAGACCTCATCTCTACAATAAATCAAAAAAATTAGCTGGGCGTGGTAGCACGCACCTGTAGTTCCAGCTACTTGGAAGCCTGAGGAGGAAGGATCGCCGGAGCCCAGCAGGGCAAGGCTAAAGTGGCCGGGAGTGGTCACTGCACTCCAGTCTGGGTGACAGAGTGAGACTCCAACTCAAAATAAATAAATAAATAAACAAACAAACCTCACCTGAATTCCTTACACCATCTCTCTCCTCTCGACCTTGACAGCCTGGAATGTTACGCATACTGAAACCTTGCATTTTCTAGGGGCAGTGTTTTCTTTGACTACAAATAATCGTGGCTTGAAACAAAAGCATGAGTTGGAAATAAGAAATGTTACCAAGTATCCGTGAGGCAGTAAAACAACCAAAACAGGTTACCTGAATGTTAGCCATCACTGGGATAATGCAATTCACAGAGAACCGGTAGATTTTCCTGTGAGTAGATATTTAGGAGTTGAGACTCACCAGTGGCATATTGGAGATGGCCATGTGCCTTGGCTCCCTTCTAATCTTGATTGAGAAAGTGGCTTTGAGGGCAGGTTCATCAAAGCAGGGAAAGGCCATTCTAGCTGCAGTGGGTTCAAACTGTGTTGACGCAAGTATCCTAAAATTTGGCAAGTGAAATAAAAATTGAGTATGATGCACTAAGAACTCTAAAATAGGTGTCTGTGTTTTAATTCGTAAAGTTACAGTAAGATTGATGGGTTTCACTTAAAAAATATTATATATAACAAAAGCTATATAAACTAAGTTAAAAGACAAGTTAAAAAACTGGGAAAATTCATAGAAAAGTATTTATGAAAGAGTTAATAGCCTTAACAGGTAGTAAGCTCTTAAAGACGAGTGAGCGACTACCCAGCAACCAAGGCAATCTCAGGCGAATGTCATAAGCAGGCAATTCACAAAAGAAGAATCTCCACATCATTAACAAACATCAAAAGTTGCTCAATTTCCTTAATCAAAGTTATATGAATTAAACAAAGATACCATGTTTTGGCCTTTTTTTGCTCTAAGAAGATTGCCAATATAAAGTATTGATTAGGAATGAGAAAATATAACAAGGGTTATCAAGAGTTTATAGACTCTTAACTTGCCAATTTTACTTCTAGCCATTTATTTTAAAGAAATAATTTACAAGGACGGTCATCAAAGTGTTGCTAATACTAAAAAGTTGGAAAGCAACTTTTTAATTTAATTTCCATCCACAAGTGATTAAACAAATTAGTACACAAACATATATTTTAATAAAGTTAAATAGTGATAGTCATTTATAAAAACATCTTCTCAACATATTAAGTTAAAAATACTACCTTATAAAACAGAAAATAGAACAGTCATTTACATAATATATGCACATATATTTACATAATACATGTATATTCATAAAGAAGTCTGGGATGGTGTTCCCCAGAAATAAAGTAGTGGTTATTTAAGGGGCTCTACTGGGATAAATTTTACTTTCTTTTTTAACCTTGATACAATAATATGGAATTCAAAAAATAAATTAGTCTACTAACAAATACATTTTTATTTTAAAATTTAGCATTAAATCTCCCCCAAATAAGTCCCTTTCTTAAAAATAGAACCAAAGTAAAACAGGTTGGGATCCCTAAAGAAGTTTTAATTGAGAGAAGAATATTCCCTTTAATAGGCTGTAAATGAATTGAATTACCAACTTCCCAAAAGATTTGCTGAAGTCCTAACCTCCAGTATCTGTGCATGTGACCTCTGCAGATGGGTCTTTGCTGATGTAATCAAGTAAAGATGAGGCCATCAGGCTGGGTTCTAATCCGATATTACTTGTGTTCTTTATAGGATGATGGAATTGGGGCACAGGGAGAATGGCCATGTGACACAGAAGCAGAGATTGGAGTGATGCAGCTGCAAAGCAAGTAGTGCCAAGGATCAAAAGCCACTGCCAGATGTTAGGAAGAGGCAAGGAAGGACACTACTCAGTGGCTTAGAGAGAGCACAAGCCTGCTGCCACCTTGATTTCAGACTCCTACCCTCCAGGCCTGTGGGAGAATACATTTCTGCAGTTTTCAGCCACTCTGTCTGTGATTCTTTTTGGCAACAGCCCTAGGAAACTAATGTGTAGGCCAAGAGAATTAAAAATGTTTACTATGACTCAGAAATCTGATTAAATACACAAACATGGATTTACGTGGATAAAGTTGGAGGAAAGAAAATTGGTTAAAAATAGAATGAAAATGAGATCAAAAAAGCAAGGCAAAAAACAAATAGCCATTTGTAATATCATAAAGAAGACACAAAAGCAAAACTGAAGAAAAAGTTTAACCACAAGAGAATTTCAAAGATAATTCACCCGAAATAATAAATTTAGTGTGGGCAGCCCTTGAAACTTAAAGCAATTTGAAAAATTCACCTCACTTCCCCTTCCGTGGTTCTGTAGGTGCTTTTATAAAAGCCATGGAGACTCTCCGAAAGATTGCCGGCATAGTGGATGACAACGATGTACGGAAACCCAACAAGGAGAGGCTCAGGAGCCAGAAGTGCAATTTGCTCATGGGGGAGATGTTCCAGGACCCTCAGGGGTTCTTCAGTCGGCTTCTCTCCAGCTCCTTTCCTGAGGGTGGCCTTTGATATCTGCAGGTAGTGACTATGCAGAATGATGGTACTGGTAGACTGGCTGGCTGTGATTTCTACTTCCATGGTTCCCTGGAAAGTCAGTGTAGTGAGATTTGCATGGATCGTGAGATCGTAGTGAACTGGGATGACATGCTCAGGAAGTCGCATTTTATTCCAAGGAAAGGGTGTCCCGTCACTAGCTTCATGGCTCTGACACCATGAAGGAGTGGACACAGTTAAGAGACTCAACAGCAAGGGAAGTAGAAATGACATGGTTCCAAGGGGCCATTGGAGAGACGGAGACACCATCTTGTTCAAACTACCTAGTGGCATAGAAGAAAACCAAATAATTAAATAAAAGTCATTAAAATGTTATCAAGACAGCATAATTTCAGTCTGCATCCACCTCTACCCAGCATTAACAGAATAAATAAAAATTTCAAAAAATTCTAGGTCTTTTTCTAAAAGTAAGATTACCTTCCCTATGATCTCACAGAAGAGAGAAGTTTATGGTTAGCAACATCCATTGACACCTACTAGAAAGCATCATTTGGTTTTCAACGTTTTAATTAACTCTATCACTCAGGGCTCTTGGTTGAAAGCAACAGAATGAACCTTGGCTGATGTAGGCAGAGAAGGAGTCATTAGAAGATCCTGAGTGGCTCACTAAATGGGTCACAGAGTTGCAAGAAGTTTGGAAAACTAAGCTCATAAACAGGCAAAGACGGACAGCCAGAGCCACATCAGAGAAACATCTGATCAAGCTCCCTTTCCCCATCCACACTGGACCTCAGAGAAAGCTGCCCTGGAAATCAGACGGTGACATCGTTGCAGCCACTACTGGAATGAATTCTCCACTGCCCCTGCAACCTTGCATACTTGTTTCAGCTACAGAGTCCTCACTTTGAAGCCCTGCTGTCTAAGTTAAAGTGAGGTGTCGATGCTACTGGGCAGGAAAATGGAGAAAACAAGAATCTGCACTTCAAGCTTCTGCCACGAGAACCAGGTCTTGCTTCCCACCAAGCCTGACAAGTAGAGAATTCAGGAGACTTAGATGCCTATTAGCAAGATGGGAAAAAAGGCAAGTATTCATAACAGTAACTTTTAATAACAACAGTGTCTTTGTCAAATTGTCATGCCAAAAGTTAATTGAATATTTATTTAGCCAGGACTGGCTTAAAGAGTTTAATTTTGACATCTTAGAGATGTCACACACCTGTGATCACACCTTAAAGACTCACACCTGTGATCTTAGCACTTTGGGAGGCTGAGGTGAGATGATTGCTTGAGCCCAGTAATTCGCGAGACCAGCCTAGGCAACATAGTAAGACCTCAACTCCACACAAATAAAAAAGTTAGCTGGGTTTGGTGGCATTTGCCTACAGTCCCAACTACTTGGGAGGCTGAGGCAGAAGGATAGCCTGAGCCCAGAAGGTCAAGGCTGTAATGAGCTGTGATGATGCCATTGCCATCCAGCATGGTTGACAGAGTGAGATTCCAACTCAGGAAAAAAGAAAAGAAAAAAGAGCTTACTTTTCCTGGTAATTTGTGACAAAAATATCCCCCATCTCCTGGATTCTCTCTTACAAGTATGTGTTGAATGCTGCTACACACAGCCTGTGTGCTGAGCCCTGTGTGGAATATAACAGTACACAAGATACTGACCCCACCCTCAAGGAGGACTTCAAAATCTGGAAAGACAGAAGACATTCATGAACAAATAATAAAACACAATATAGAAAGTGTGGAGTATTTTAAGAGTAATAATAAAAGAAAGGATTGGGAAGAGTGAAATTATATTTCTAAAGAAAGAGAGTGACTCTAACTACAGGCACCTCTTGGACACTTCACATAAGAGCAGTATTTGGTTGTGGCCTGGAAGGACAAGTCAGGTTTGGAATTGAAAGACAGTATTAACAGCATTGCAGGTGGTGCAAACCAGGCAGGATCTAAGGCACAGAGGGAGAAAGACAGGGCTGTTCACGCAATTGATGTGGATAGAAAGGAAACCCCAAAGGCCCTGATGGAGATTGGTTATTCACAAGGCAAGGAGGGGACTAATTCCAAGATCATGCTCAAAGTATGCTGGGAGTCCTGCCACAGACCATATCTTGCACTTTATTTTAAAAGCCATGGGACATAAAAGCAATATGAATTTTGAGGGAATTGGCAATCAAGGATCAAGCATAGTTCTTTCCTTCCTTACACAAACATGTCTATCTAATGAGAGAGGACAGGAGAGGTCCCTACCAGATGAGCTCAGGTAACTGGCTCTGATTCCCTCAAATTCCTCTGGTTCCTGGACATTTGGACCAGATGGGAAAAGCAGTAAACCCACAATGTGAATCCCTTGATGTGATCATGATGCATGGGATTCCCCCTCTCTAAGATGTCAGAATTCTCAGCTCTGGCTACATATTAACATCACCTAGGAAGTTTTTAACATTTCCTATTGACAACAGTTAAACTGGAGTCTATGGTGGTGAGATGAGGGCATTGTTTTTTTTTTACTTCGCAGAGATTTGGCTGAGAAGCCAGGGTGAGAAGCTCCAACAACCAGGTACAGTGTCTCATGCTTGAAATCCCAGCACTTTGGGAGGTTGAGGTGGGAGGATCGCTTAAGGCCAGAAGTTTGAGAAGCTCCAGCATCATCTCTGTCAAACTTTGGCCTTACTTCTTGAGACTTACGTGATGGAATGTTACTCAAGACAACAACTGATGTGTTCTTCCCAATCCTCACTCTCCATCCTGCTCCCTTTCCAAACACACAGTTCCAGGGATCTGTCTCATGCTCTCCTGTGGAGGGAATCTGGAGGCTAAACAAAAAGAATACCTATACTGCAGACAGTGAGTCTTGGAGACCTCATAATACCAGTTCAAAAGGCACCACCCAGATGAGACAGAAAATGGGTGTGAACAGGGAGAACAGGTTTTTTTGTTTGTTTGTTTGGTTTGGTTTTTGGCTTCTCATTTTGTCTAGGAACCAACCAAAGGAGGCTGACAGCCACAGAGTTATAGAGCAACTTCAAGAAGAATAGTAAAGCTTAAATACCAATATAGTAAACAGTTCCTGCCTCTTCCTTCTCAGGCAGAATCCCAGGGGAGGGGCAGAAGGTGGATTTCCCTTGAAGTTGGGGGACTAGAGAGGAAAGGGAACTTGTGTCCTGCTTCCATCTAAAATTTCTGACAGCAGCAACTCCGTGGATGCAGCTTCTGTCTGAGGATGGTACCCAGAGGGCTCCGTGAAGGTGGCAGGTTTAATTAAGCATGCAAAGACTCTGAATGTCCCCGAGGGTTCTCCAACAGCCCAAGAGGAGATCTAGAAATTCCAACTGGTTCTGAGCTGACAGAAACGCCCCAGGCTGCTGCAGAGTTTGGTGGTGGGACCTCACACCAGAGGTTTTGCAGGGTTGAACCCAGGAGGGGGCCAAAGAGAACATGGCTATGTCGCTAGCAGGAGGCAATGCCAGAAACCCAAATGGGACATGTGGTTTAGACAGCATAGATGTCAGGACATATCCACCTGTAGTCAATGGGTCTCCCCCAAGAGAAAAATTATCTACCCTGTAATCTTGATTTAATGAGTAGAAAGAAGTTTGCAATCAGTAACAACTGTGAAAATCCACTAAATCTTGTTTTCTATTGAGTAGTGGGCAGAATTCTTAGAATCTGTAACACTTTGGTTAACTTAATTTTTTATGTGTCTGCTTCTCTTTACTAAATTATAAACTCCTCGAAGCAGGGATTATGTCTTATTCATCTGGTACATCATGAACATATCAGTGAATGTTCAAGACTGAAAGATGCAGTCTCCTCTAAGTCATCAGACAGAGCAATTTCCCTAAAACAGTTCTACGAAGGCTTCTCTATGCCTTAGACTTCTTAGGCAACCAAGACCCTCAGTGTCCTGCAGCCTAGAAAAGTGAGACTCCAGTCTTATCTCAAAACACAAACTCCCATATGTATCTTAGGATCCACAATGGGTTTTGGTTGTCCTCAGAACATTCCCTGTACTCTTCTCTATCCACCTCTGCTCTACGATTCCTTCCACTTCAATAACTTTCTCCCACCTTTCAAGGACCAACTCAAATGAGGCATCCCTGGGAGCCCCTCCTTGTATATTCCAGGCACAAGTGACTTCCTCCTTTGATATTTGCAGCACTTTCTTTGTGCCTCTTGTGGGATTGCACCACAACCTGCCACATAATACATTTGTAATACCTTCTCTACTACATTATGCATTCCTTGGAAGCAATAGTCTAGTTATCTCTGTATTTTCCATAGCACCTAGAACTATATCTTACAGATTTGAAGGGCTAGATAAAAACTCTGTGTAATGAATTAGGGATTTCCCTGATAAAATTATCGTGTTCATTCCCAACTACAGGTGACAGAATCCAAGATTCTGTGATCATATTCCAGTGTTTACCTTTGCCCTAAAACATTAGCTCTTGTCTGGTTTTGTTTCTAACAGCAAGTGTTCCGATCTAAAACAGCATTTCATGGTTCTGGCTGTTCTCCAAGAGTCAGGTTTTATTAACAATTTTCTAAACAGGATGCAGTTTTAAAAAAAAAAAAAGGCTCTCACAAACAGTAGTCTATTCAATGTAAGCAGCCCCTTCCCAGGAAAAGTGCAGTTCATTTTGAAGTTAAACTCCACTAACTCTTAAAGAAACAGAAGCCACAGGCCTGTAATCCTGCGCCTTTGGGAGACTGAGGTGAGTGGATTGCCTGAGCCCGCGGGTTCGAGACCCGCCTGGGCAGCGAGACCTCATCTCTACAATAAATAAAAAAAATCAGCCAGGCATGGTAGCACATGCCTGTAATTCTGGCTACTCGGAAGGCTGAGGCGGTAGGATCGCCGGAGCCCAGCAGGTCGAGGCTGCGGTGGCCGGGAGCGGCCACTGCACTCCAGTCTGGGCGACAGAGTGAGACTTCAACTCAAAAAAAGAAAAAAAAAAAAGAAACAGAGAGCCAAGGAGGGAAAAGAACACATATCCACTAAGCCCCTCCAAAATGCCAGGCACTTGGCACAAGTTCTTCCTCTTTAATAGCCTATTATTCCCATCACAAGAAGGGGAAACTGAAGCAAAGAAACATTCATGTAACTTCACCAGATTCACACAGCTAATGCAGTCTGAATCTATGTGATTAAAAACTCCCTGCTCTTTCTGCTTCACCTCTAAACCTTTCCTCTTTTACTTTCTGATACCTATGTGATGCTCTACTCATGCTTCCTTGGTATCTCACCAAGACTCAAATGTACACTGTTTTAAAAACACCAAGCAGTAGTCACTGATACTCTTTCTACA